AATTTTCTGGGAGAGGATTTTGTAGAATTCTAATTCCATAGGCAAAGCTAAGTCACTTTTTAAAACAGCGAACTTGTACTTACTTCTTTAAAACATTGAACTTGGATTTAGATGGCTGCTAGGTTATTCTATTCTTCTCCAGAGTCACTGCTAAATTTTGACACTTTTATCTATTAGATGGACTTCTAGAGATTAAAACTGCTGATGTGTGCATTTTGACATTGAGTTGTGGTTTACTCAGTGATTTAGGTAGGCTGAATTAAACTGATCAGGCTGAGTTAAAACTGAATTGATAAATTCATGTTCTCTACTAAAATTCTGGTTTTAGTCCCTTTTGGGATATTATATGGCTAAACTTGTTCAGATATCTAATGCCCAAAATATCTTTCCCCTTACTTTAATCTCGTTCCTAACTGTGCTATTTTGGATCATCATTAGGAATTTGTAGCCTCTTTAGATAAATTTCTTTGAAAATGGCAACTCTATCCTTCCATCTTTTAAACTGCTGTCCTTGGCTGGCTGAGGTTCCAACCCTTTGGCAGCTGTCCTGATGTTATGACCTAGGTGACAAAGATAATGGCTATAAGGAGGTGTGAAGTGTTAACTTGTAGCTTGTCCTTTTATGTTTTCTTGCTGCATGAACTTTGCTATTTATTACATGGGAGATCTGTTTCGTAGTGTTTATTCCTAATTTTTTTTTAGCTTAATCTATTGCTGGTATGGATGAATTGTTTGGTACCTATACATGTATTTATCTATATATTTATAACTAAGAAATGACTGTTCAAGAGTGTATAAATGATTTGACATTGTCTGGTCTCTTTGTGGCTTCCATAAGGCCTCTCGGGAGCAATGCACTCTCACATATTTCCTCAGGCTCATTTTGGTAGGTGGCCACATTTGGTATCAAGTTTCTTGTGGCTAATTGTTCTTGCCTGTAAAAGCTTATTGATAGCTATCTGGTTCTCTGCACAAAGAATTTTGGAAGACTTTGTTTTTTAAAAGGGAGTGGGTGTGGGTATTTGGCAACTGGGCAAAGGAACAGAAGAGCATACCTGAGACAACCTCTTGAGAAACCAGAACAAAACCATTATTGATATCCTCCATGATCACAGTATAATGCTAAAGAGTAACTCTTGAAGTTTCTACCAACAACAGTTTGATGCCTTTTGGGATATCCCAAGTCACTGCTCCTTTTGTTGTGCTTTTGTTTGCTGTTTTTAGCAAGTTTACCTGTTGAGTAGCTCCTCTGCTCACTGTAACTTGAGAACAGTGTTAGTACATCAGTTTTGTGTGCACTTTGTCAACAGTTTATGTATGTAAAATGTCTTGCCCTTGAATATTTTTGGGGTAATTTTTTCGACTGATAATTAAACTATATTCGTTAAATTAATTTTATTAACTTTTTAAAACAGTTGAGCTTGCATAAAATCTAACTCGTAACATTTCAAAAGAGAAGTCCTGTCTAACTAGCATGGAATACCTGGTGTCTGTGTTTGTACCAAAAATCCTTCTATACCACTTCTCCTTTCAAGAATAACTCCCAAAAGACTGAATAATGGTTTTGTTATTACACTTTTGCACCTATTGTGCTCCTGTTTATTTGCTGAAGGGACACGGAAATGCCTATGAGCTGCATGTTATTTACTTGAAATGTTCAGCAGAGAATCAGATGAAAAGTTTTGGGTTTATTTGTTGTTTTAAGTCCTACCTCAACAGTAAGAGGGTTTGCAGTAGGAACTTTGTGTGCAAATAATGTGCATGGTGAGAATTTCCTTTAACGTGCCATTAAGGATGGGATGAAGAAAGGGGGATGCATGTATCCCTTTGATTTGTTTTTGTTATTGATTTGTAACCTACTGTAGTGCAACTTGAAGTAGGAAGATGCTTTCATGCTTTCCTCAGAAGGAGAAAAAGAGTGGCTTGGGCTGCCTGAATGTGCTTGATTTTGGTGTGTACAGACTTCTACCAGAAAAACTCTGGGGGAAGTATATGATAACATAGAGAACAAAAAATAATTTCCTCTTCAGACAGTATATCTGAATGTGCTGGATCTAGTAAATTTTAAATGACTCCATTAATTTTTAAAGTGTAAAAGTAAATTATGCACCCAGTTGGTGGTGATCCAAGTGAGCAAATCAGTTCAGTGGCTGTAGAAGTTGAACCGACCTTTGTTCGGTTAGGAGACTTTTAACATGGCATTATAGTAATTTGTTTCATGGCAAAAGTGGTTTCTTACAAATAATTGAATGTTATTTTTTTTGCCTATCAGCAGCAACATTTGGTACTGCATCCATGAGCATGCCTGCAGGATTTGGAACTCCTGCTTCCTACAGTCTTCCTACTAGTTATAGTGGCAACTTCCAGCAGCCCACGTTCCCAACCCAGGCAGCTTTCCCTCAACAGACTACTTTTGCTCAGCAGCCAAATGGTAGGTCTGCATGTTTTAGATAATCTTGTCTACATCGGAAACATAAAGAAAATGATCTGTCTATAAGTTGGCAATAATGGGTGCATATTTATTTCTTCATGAACTTGGTAGTAACGTTGATGAGGGGTTCCCACACTTTTTTGACTCTGTAGCTGAGCTTTCTAACTTGGCTGTGTGCACTTGTGCAATGACAAAACTGAAATTTTAGTAAATTTTACTGGAATTGTAAGTATTCCCAGGCTTAAAGGGTTTTTAGGTAAGAAGGGCTTTTTTGGAGTGTCTGCAACACATTGTTACTTTCTCTAACTTCATAGAACACAGGCAAGAGAAAACTGGAAAGTATTTTCTCCCTAAATTTATGTGGTACAACAACATTGAAAAACGTGTATATGCAGAAATTGGAAATGGATTAGTTACGAACAGTTGAAAACAACCAAAGCTCAGTCACCATTTTTTAGGTTTATGTTTGTGATAATGTTTAAGTAGGATCAGTCCTGCTGATTCTGCAGTTCAGGCTTCCACTTACATTTGAGTGGGAGCTGCACCAAAGAACTCTTGAAAGATTGTTTACTAGTATTAATATTTTTCACTTATCTTTCCAAGGAGCAGGTTTTGCTGCATTTGGGCAAGCAAAGCCTGTAGTAACTCCTTTTGGACAAGTTGCAGCTGTTGGAGTATCTAGTAACCCTTTTATGGTAAGTGAGTTGTTGCATGGTATTAATAACTTCTGTATGTCCAAAGAAGCATAATCTGTAACAGTTAATTTAGAGATACACAAAGATATTGGGGTTTTCTTCACTTCAAGTAAAGAGAAGCAGCGTGTGACTCTGCTAACTGCAATTCAGTGTTATGATGACGTGGCATCTGCTCAAATCAAAACAGAGGTACTTGGATACTTTGTTCTTACAGTAATGTAATTTCAGAGAAGCACCAAAATATAGACTGCAATATAAACCAGAAATATTTCCCAGTAGGTTATTTTCTTTTTTATATATTCTGCATTTATGATTTACAATATGGAAAAAAAGTCTTAAATATTTGGCTTATTTTTGTTCTGTCCTTTTCCCCCAGGCTGGTGCACCAACAGGACAATTTCCAACGGGAAGCTCATCAACCAATCCTTTCTTATAGCCTTATAGACACTTTACCCAAAAGAACTCTTATGTGGTCACATAACATCTCTGCGCCTCTTGCACTGTTGTCTTGTTTCACTGATATTAGCTTTAAACACAAAAGAAGTCTTTAAGAAGTAAAAATAAAAGCCTGCATTGTGTACCTTTAAAAAATTTTAAAAAGGAAAAAAAAAAACCCAACACAAACAAAATGAGAAAACCAACCCCCCACCAGGTAATAACGTGCAAAACAGAGGGCTGTGGTAACATCCTTGAACCTGTGAACTGGCAGGTAAAAAGTAGCGGTATCATGTATATTAAAATTGGCTAATAAGTTATTGCAGATACCACATTCATTATGCTGCAGTACTGTACATATTTTTCTTAGAAAATAGCTATTTGTGCATATCAGTATTTGTAACTTTAACACATTGTTATGTGAAAAATGTTACTGGGGAATAGATCAGCCACTTTAAGGTGCTGTTGTATCTCTTGGAATGAATGAGCTGCATCATTTTAACCGTTGGTATTGGAAGTCATGAAGTTAAATTGAAGGTTTGTTCATTTCTCAAAACGTTTTCCTTTCCTAAGAGCTATTCTATTTATACATGCCTAAATCTCTAATGTTAGAGGGATACCTGTCTGCATAATAAAGCTGATCATGTTTTGCTACAGTTTGCAGGTGAAAAAATAAATATTAGAAAAAACAATTGTGTAGCATTATTTCTGTGCAGTAACATCTATTGGATGAAAATGTGCATCCTGCAAGTCTTGTACACAGATGAGGTATCCAGAGAATGAGTTAAGCTTAAAATTTTTACCTGCCTCACTTGGAAATGTTTCTTTGTATCCTGCGATGAAGTTTGCTGTTCTAGCTCAAGTGAAGTGACCTATCAAACAGGAGAGTGTTAGATGAGCTTGGGTTATTTGGGTAGAATATCTGTAGTGAAGGACACTGAAGCAATGCAGAGGGTAGTCACTCAAGAAAGGGTTTGCTGCAGAAGACACCTGATTATGGGTAACTAGTTGTGATGAGAACAGAATGTGTGACAGCAGGACAAGGTACCACAGATGTAATAGCACTTTTTATTAAAAACTGATCTATATTAGTAAAAGCTCCTCTGGAATATTAAATTTGTCATTTTTAAATTTACAGGAATGTTTCCTGCCTTACTAGAATGGAATTTGTAGAGGGGGTAAAAATGTCTGACTTGTCTAGTCTGTAATAGTAATAAGGCTTGAGAAAATGTAATTGTATCAGAGTAGTTGGTGTTTTAAACACAGAAATAATTTGGCTTAACTTCAAGCGTAATACTGGAACTAAGCAAATAATATAAATATATCATGAATACATAAACTGCAAGCTTAAAGGTTTTGGACCAGCTGGAGAAAAAATTTTACAGCTTTCAGAATAACAGGAATAAATAATGTGAGGTTGAATTTTTTTTTTTGTTGGCTTTTTTTTTTTTTTGAAAAAGGGTATATAAGCCCATTTGAGATAACCATGACAATTCCTGAAGGTAAGACATTCCACTTTTAATTTACTGCCTGAATGTTAGATTTATTTATTTCTAGGACATCTGAAAGGCTTGACCTCTGATTGTAAAATCATTTAATGTAATGCTTTTGACTTCTGTTGCCTGCCTACCTGGGCAGGAATTTCTATTTTCTTTTTTTTTTTTTTTTAAACTTTGGAGATCCCAAGCAAGGACAGGCAGCTCACACAACAAGCTGCCTATAGTAGTTTTTCTTAACTTAGTGTCTGGATTTGTCCTGTTGTCATATTTAAAGTTAAAATAGACTTGAGGGCGGTTTTTTCCTTCTGATGAAGACTGCTGGGCAGAGTATGGTGTATAGCTTAATTCCCAAGATTCTCTGGGAAATTCACTAAACAAATCCCCCAAAATTGAGGGTTTCCAGGGTGTTAGTGATGCCCTTGCTCTCAGCACTGTATTTTATCACAGTATAAACAGCTGTAGTTCTTTCCTGTTGTCAACCTTAGCTGTTTTGGGATAGTAACAGGTAAGTGCAGTAGAGTGGGGAACTGCAAGGGCTTGTGATACACTTAAATATGCTCAGTGCAGGGAACTGGACCAAATCAACCAAAGGTCCTGAAAACAAGACAAATGGTGTTGTGAAAGGGGAACAATCCTGTGCCTGCTTCACCTCAATTGGTATAAATGAGGCTTTGGGCAAGGGCTGATGAGATCAGCATCTATTGAAATTGTCCTTATCCAAATGAAGCTGATTCTTGCTGATACCAAAATTGATTTAAGTATGCAAGGCATGTAGTTTTAGAATGTACTGCAGAAGTAGTGGAATACCTTAGTTTTCATAACTAGGTTAAATGCAGATAAAAGGTTGGCAACCTCCACTATACACAACCACATCTGTTTAGTCTGTGTTCAGTAATTTTGCATTTTCCAAACTCCAGACAAGCAACTGAAGATCGTGTGTTGTTTTGAGTCTTCTGTATGTTGAGCAGAAACTGCCACTGTAGCTGTTTTGTTGATTAGGTTTTAAAAATAGCCATATTTACTAAATGAATGTGATTATAAATTTATCTTGGAAGTCTCTGCAGTTGTTCACACCATTGCTCATGCATAGTTGCCAGAAAGCTGTATTCATGCTTTAGCATCAAAGAACTTCACTCGATAACTTCAGCCCTCTTATACAGAAATCAATATGGAGACCTCCTAGATCAGTACTTCAGTCCTAAAATGTCAGCTGTTACGGGTGTAAGAAGGTGCTACAGTTGTAGGAGTGGATACGTCTTGTTCTGAAAGGCAGATGTGATGTCCAGGTACTGCAGTTGAATGGTATTTAATGGCTGCAAACATCCAAATACCATGTTGAAACAAATGCTAAAGCAAAAAATTAATTTGGAAAGCACCAGATTTAGTTGGAATTCCTGAAAGAAAGCTATATGATGCAAGTATTCTGCCCTCTTGAAGGGAAAACTTACTGGGACATGAAAATGAGCTCAAGTAGTTTTTCAAAAGTATTCTGAAAGGAATTGATGATTTTTACTTTTTTTTTTTGTGAGATGAAGTGGGTCGGTTAATTCTAAGTCTTGACGAATCTCTAAGTTGTGGTAAAGGAATACAGTGGAATTTACTGCTGTCTGATACAGTTGACGAGAAAGTGGACAGTTGGAAGCACATTCCCTATTTAGCTTTAGTTATATTTAAACTTTGTCATGTTATTTAAGACTGTTCTGTATAGCAACTGAAGTGTCTCCCTGTGGTTTAAAAATAAGTTAGTTTAGGAGGCTCTATGCTTCCAAAGATGTGTGTGTGTGGGTCATGGCAGTTGTTGGATATAATTATTGCATATGCTTATCAAGGCAGACACTCAAAGGGAAGGTCAGGGTGTTGTGTTCATGCTCCTTCAACAAACTCACGGTAGAGCTGTCATTGCATCAGTAGCAGTTGATCTGTATATAATGACATATTTTTCCTTACAGTGCTGTCACTTCACATTTCTGAGGAGTGCATTGTCTGTGTGGAATCTGAAATGCCTGCATTTGACATTGGGAAAGTGACAGTATTGCTATACTAAATCACGTGGTAGTAATCCAACATTTGAGTAGCATCTTTTGGGGAAAAAAATTGTTTATTGCTATTTGTTAACTTGTTTTAAAAATCTGTGTCACAACTTCCAGTTGAAAAAGTGTTAAGTATCCTTTGTGGCAATCTTTCCAACAGATATCTTGCTGCCGGGGCAACTGTTGCTTTATATTCCCTAGGAATGTCCAAAGTCCAAATTGCCTTTAATTGAAATACTCAGTAGAAGTGAAATTTCAGAGGTTCTGTAAGTTCTTCTGGTGTGAAGTTCAGGCACCTGCCTGTAGTTGCTGTTCTTGCAGAGCATTAATCAAAGTTCGGGTGTCGATCACTAACTTTGAGTTAAACTACTGATGAAAAAAACAGGCAAAATGCATTGCTGCTGACAAAGCTGTCTGTGCTGTAGGCTCGTTAACAACCTGCTTCAGCCTGCACCAGTTTTGCTTGATGGAACATTATATATCTCCTGATTTGTTGTTCAGGTGATGGAGCCTTCTGCACTGTTGCTTGTAACCGTTCTTGTCTCTGTTGTTAATGACCTGTGCTTTCACCAGCTGCACTGGTATTGCTGCATTTGATGGAGATAATGGTGTATGTGCTTCTGATGAGGAAAATTCCAGCTATGACTGCAAAGTAGCTGCCATAAATGAGAAACTGGGAAATGGAGGTGGGAAAGAAGGAGGAGAGAGTCAAAAACTGCTTTTGCTATTAGATAATAAGAGGTGTCCCTCCACTGCTGCCCTCCCCTGTCACCCATGCCCAAAATGATCCCATTTGAAAGGACTCGAAGTCTGACTGCTTGATTACATACTGTAGGAAGTTTGAGGTTGTAAAAGGGGGAAAGAATATTCTGTAATGTGCTTGCCTTCCCTACCTCAGTAAGGGAGGATAACAGTCCTGCACTTGTGTCTCTTCTCTGCAAAGATGAAAGCTAGAGACTTGGACCTCATTTGGGACATAAGTATCAACTTTAAGTTTAGAAACTTAGTGGGGAATTAGGTTAATTTTCAGAATTAGAGTAAATTTTATGGTACATCCACTGGAACTGCCTTACTTAGAATTACCCTAATAATAGACCCATTGATTGCTTTTTGGTTTGGTTCCTGCTTCTAGTTAGGATATTTTGACAATAAATTTGTGAATAGTAAGCCTTTAATTGCAAAAATACTCTGAGTAATAGGTGGTGGTCTTTCCTCTCTGTTCTATGAAAATATTCTCAAAATTATAGCAGAAAAGCAAAATTGAGAGGACTGGAGAACAAGTTGTAGTAGCTTATAGCAGTTCACTTGAAATGAACTTTTTTTTCCGACTAACTGGCCTAAGCTCGCACATTACCTGGTATCTTCACAAAGCCTAGTCTTGGAGCAGAACCCACTTTCTGAGAAGAGTAGGGGGACTGAGAGCAGTCATGTAGCTTACCTGAGTGCTGATATCCAGTCCCAGACCTCTTGAATCTACTACAATAACAGTTAAAATTGTTTGAATCACCAGTGCAACAAAGGTGTTGAAGCCAAACATCAAAGCATAACGCTCCATGCTCAGGTTGACAGCAATCTGAAACCTGCCAATGAATGCACAGGTTGGCCAAACTATGGAGAGCAAGGACGTGTGCACTTTAATGTGCACAGTGGACTCTTCAAAGGACAGTCACTTCAGTCTTAGCTATTAAGCTTTAACAACTTCAATTTGGCAGAAATTCCTTGGTTTTTTTGGCTTTGTGACTTTTGTGCATCCTACTTACCTTTTACTTGAGTGGATATTTTTGTTGAATACTGGTATATATTTATTTGATCATGTATAGAACACTTGTACATAGATCATTGAACAACCAAATGCAGAAGCTACCTTGTTCTGACAGGAACTGTATTATTGTAGTGGTTAGGTCATAATTTTAAGCATAGTTTTGCACAGACTAGAAATAATGTATGCTGCTGTCATAACCTAGTTAAAATTTATTTCTAGGGAAACTTCCAGTAAAATTTTGATAAATGTAAAGGTTTGATACAGATTTGAATCAATTTAATTAGAACAGTTGTGTATTGTACTTACGTTGCTACTGTTATAAGGAGCATATAGCAAGCCTTAAATGCAAGGTAACCAGCGTAACATGCCCAGATGTTCCCAGTGAAGTACATGAGAAACAGAGAACCAGCATCCATTGCAGAGAAAATTCCCAAGACCAATTCTCCAGAGAGATCCCAGTTCACTTTGACGTATCCAACTGCCATGGATGTTACTGAACCTAAAAATTGAAAAGTACTGATTTAAAACTCTGAAACATTATTATCCTTGAGAGCCATTGTATAACTGTGTAGCTGGATCATACCAGGAGCTCTTCAGTCTGTTACAGTCACAGTGGGCTCCGATAATGGTGTAGTTTATATTTCCTGTTAGTGGCGTGGGAGTCTTCCGTTTGTTTGGGTGTTTTCCTCCTTGCTTACAGACCCTTCACTGACTGAAGTGCTCTGGGAAAGTGCCTCATGCCCAAGGCTGGAGGCAGCAGCACACAATCTATTGTTGTTTCTTGCATTTTTTGACAACTGAGCAAAGAGAAGAACAATCTCACCAAGCATTTTCTGCCAAAATAGGTATAATGAGTTCTCTTACTTCGTGTAAAGATCTTTATGAAATGAAAATCTGTTGTAGTTCACGTTTGCTTTTTCTGAAAGTGTCTTTTCAGTTTCTGGTGAAAAATCTTGTGAACTGCATTTGCCTTATTGACCATCACATGTAACAAAACCCTGACTTGAGTGCATCACAGTGTAGCAAACTCCATGTTTTCAGGCAGGCTAGCAGATTGGACTTTGTTTGCTGGTTGTATATGCTCTTCATCAGAATTCCTTAGGCTACAGCAAACCAACCCCTTTGGTCCATCCCTGCTGCAAGCAGAGATTTCCAGTACTGTGAGTGCCTTCTGTAGTCTGAAATAGTGTCAAGTGTCAGAGAGTGTAAAAGCAAGAAAGTCCTTGGGAACACTACTCAGAACAGTAGTCTGAGTAGTTCAGTAAACCAGATTTTCATGCTGATTGCAGGGAGGAAAAGTAAACTGACAATTCCTTGTGGAAATGTGGGACGAGGTTCTTGGAATGAAGGGGGAGACAGATGTGTAAATGAGACCTCAAAAAGGAAGCTCCATTGGTACTGCACAGTCATGTAAAAGAAGTTTCACTTTGGCCATAGCCTTCTGTTCTGTGGCCAAAGAAAAATGTCATTGGGATGGACCAAGGAACTAATGAGAGATGGATGGAGATCACCTGGCCCTGCTAAAAACTGAGTCAGCTAAAGCAAGCTGCTCAGGATGCTGTCTAGGTTTTCAATATGTCCAAGGATGGAGAGTCCACACCTCTGGTCAACCTGTTGCTGTTTTAAATCACCCTTACAATAAAAATGTTCTTATATGTTTTAGTGGAACTTTGAGTCACAGAATATGCAGAGTTGGAAGGAAGCCACAAGGATCATCGAGTCCAAGTCCTGACCCTCCACAGGACCATCCCATCCCCAGGAGTCACACCATGTGCTTGAGAGTATCATCCAGATGCTTCCTGAACTCTTGTCAGGCTTGATGCTGTGAACCACTGCCCTGGGGAGCCTGTTCAGTGCCCAACCACCCTCTGGGTGAAGAACTTCTTTCTAATATCCAACTTAAACCTCTCTTGACACAACTCCTGTCACTGGTCACCACAGAGATCAGTGCCTGCCCCTCCTCTTCCCCTCAGGAGGAAGTTGTAACTGCAGTGAGGTCTCCCCTCAGTCTCCTCCAGGCTGAACAGACCAAGTGCCCTCAGCTGCTCCTCACACGGCTTCCCCTCAAAGCCCTTCACTATCTCCATTGCTCTCCTTTGGACACTCTCTAAGAACTTAATGTCTTTCTGATATTGTGGCACCAAAATCTGCCACAATATTTAAGGTGAGGCCACCACAGAGCAGAATGGGACAATCCCCTCCCTCAGCTGGCTGGTGCTGCTTTGCCTGATGCCCCCCCCCCGGACACGATTGGCCCTCCTGTGCTGGATTTTGTGCCCCTTGCTTTTTGTCCTGTCACTGGGCACCACTGGGAAGAGCCTGGCTCCATCCTCTTTGCTGTTCCCCTTCAAGTCTTTGTGCACATTAATGAAATCCCTTGTTTTCATAAGGCTAAATAATTACAGTGCTCTCAGTCTCTCCTTGTGTATCATATCCAGAGGCAAACTTGCTGATTAGGATATAGATGCAGCACAGAATATTTGCTGAGGAGCACTTGGCCTGAAATGATCTTTAATCCACTGTCTAAATAGACCATTTAGAACAGTGTGTCTGTTAGTGTGTTCTTTTAATTCCTAAACTTGCCAGTTTAAGGTGTATTTGAGGGAGGTATATGCAAGGTTAGTTGCACAGAGTTTCAAAGTGCTTGGGGTTAAATTCACAGTCTAAACAGAGCTGTGAACTTAAACTCTTAAAACACTTAGGTGGAATAAGGTTCCCCTAGAAAGGAAAAGCTTTTATATATATATGTATGTATGTATAATTTGTGAAAAGCCCACTGATAAAAGTTAATAGAAAAAAAACATGCTTTGCACACTATTTGGGTGTTATATGTCAGGCTGTTGCTGTTGACCCTGGTCCTCATATGAGATGGAGAGGCACCAAAGGCATGCCGAAGAATGCATCAGTGCAGGGTGGGTTACTTATTTACTAATTATCTTTTACTTACCTAAAAAAGTTGCTAGTGCTTCGACAGCTCCATTGTACACTGCAGAGCTGTGAGAGGGGGCTTGGAAGTCCCACAGCACTTGGACATAATTCAGGAC